ATGGATGGACGGACGGACGGACGGACGGATGGATGGATGGATGGATGGATGGGTGGATAGATGGATGGATGGATGGATGGATGGATGGATGGATGGATGGATGGGTAGCTGGATGGATGGGTGGATGGATGGATGGATGGATGGATGGATGGATGGATGGATGGGTGGGTAGCTGGACAGATGGGTGGGTAGAGGATGAATGGATAGATGGACAGAAAGATAGACAAGCACACAGATGGACAAGGCAGACAAATAGGTAGATAAATCATGGAAGAATTAGCAGGAGAGTTGGCCCACCCAATTACAGAGGCCAAGAAGTCCCCCAGTATACCACTTTCAATCTGGAGATGCAGGGAAGCTCTTGTGCCACTCAGTCCATGCCCCGAGGCCAGAGAACCAGGCGCTGCCACGTCCTACGGCAGAAAACAGCTACTCCCGGCCAAGCAGAGAGAATGCAGTGGCCAGCCCTCTGCCGCTTTGCTCTATCTGTGCCCTCAGTCAGTGGCACGATGCCCACCCACACTGGGCAGGGCGACCTTCTCCACTTAGTGCACTGATCCTAATCTAATCTTCCTGGAAACTGTCACAGACACTACCAGAAACAGTTTTACAGAAGTTGACATAAAACTGGCTGTGACACCAGTCCACTTGGTACACTGATTGTATGGACATGTCTGCATATTAACTGGCCTCTTTGCCACCACACCGAAACGTCATTAGAGCAAAGCTTTGACTCTGTTCTGTTCATCTCCAAGGCCAAAGGCCAAGAAGGGCTGTCTAGCAGACATTTCTGTCAAGAAAGACATGGAATGAATGCACAGATGATTGGGTGAATCCGTAGAGGCTTTCTTTTTTAATTCATAGATCTTGAGCTTGCTCAACACAGAGCCTCATTGCTATCAGACACTCAAAGAACATTTACAAGAATGAGTGAATGAGTGGCACGCACACTTTCTGTTTGTCTGGATTCACTGCCTTTTGCTTTCAGTGAGCGAAACTAGCCAACTACCCAGGGCTTACTCAACATAGGTCAGCTGTCAGGACCTGTGTTGTCAGGCTCTATGTTGAATATTAGACATTCAATAAAAGTTTGATAAAAGAGGGGGAAGGAGAGAAAGAAAGAAAAAAAAAAGAAAGAGGAGAAGCAAAGGCAGGAGGGAGAGCAAGAGGGGCAGTAAGGACGGTTGGGCACCTGCCACTAGGTAGCTTCTTCTTCGTAATCCTTCCTGGTGCTTTCCTGCTTACGCCTGATCCCCAACAACCGATGACCACCTACAGTGTTTCAACTGTGGAAGGTGGGAAACCTCCCACACAGCCATTCTGCTGCTTCTTTTCAACAGAGCCTTTGATGAGCAACTCAAGGCGCTTAACACTGCACATGGCCCAGGTCATGTTGGGATAGTCCGCCCAGCTTTGGGCCGAGGCCCGCGGCCTGTGCACCCCTGAGGTGGGCCAGGCCAAGACGCAACTTCTGTGGGCCTACGTGTACTGGTTAAGTGCATTGTTAACGTGCAAGATTTTCAGCACACCATGAGTCTATCAGGATGGAACGCCACCATAAATAGGGGACATCTGTACCTGCTGATTAACTTCATCTTCTGTTTGGCGGATAGTTCACTGCAGTAGTCAAGTCATTGTCATCAATAGCCACAGGTCCAAGTAGCTGATCTAAGCTACGCGCCCACTCTGTGGACCCTGCCCAGACCACTCGCTTAGGCCTCCCACACCACACCCAGGGGACGTAGATGAGGTCGAGATGACTAGCCTGAGACGTGAAGAGCTGAGATCCCAGAGGGTGAACAGGGGGCAAAAGAAAGCCTTTCCTGGGCTGGGGAGATGGCTCAGTGGTCTAAAGCACCTACTGAGAACAAGCTTAGCAAAGCACAAGGGACCGCGGTTCAATCCCCCAGCACCACATGCCAGCCAGCCCTGCCCCCTGGTGGGCTGAGCTGGCCACACACACACACACACACACACACACACACACACATACACACATAAAATAAATTAAAAAAAAAAAAAAAAAAAAAGCCTTTCCTTCATTTCAACCTCGCTCAAGCGCCCCCTGGTGGAGGGAGACTCATCGCCGAGCATCCCTCCTCTCCTACCCCCTACGCCAGCATCTTCTATAAGCAGCGGCCGGCCACTCCCGCCCACCACATCTGAGGCGCCAGCTATTGTTTCTTCTCCCGAAAGTATGGGCTGCATTCTGCCTTCACCTCTCCAGACTGTCAGTTGCACCAAGGGGAGACTTTTTCTCTTTCTCATCTCCATTCCCCAGAACGCAGTGCAGTGCCTGGGACACAGGGGCACTCCGATGAATGTGAGACAAGCGGGTCGATGCGCCACCCCCGACCGCATGTGCTGCTGACCGGCTGTGCAGGACCCGCACTTGGCTTCGCTCCTGGTTCTCACACAACTGCCCTCCTCCACCACACAGGCGGGCCTCCCAGAGTTGAAGCCATGGGAGCTTCGCCCAGCCCTTCACCCAGGAAGTGCCGCCTGTGCTAGGAGAGCGGGCCCATAGGCCTTACCGTGGGGGCGGCGCGGCTGCCTCTCCCCGGCTTCACTCCCACATCTCCGGCTGCTCCTTCTCAGCTTTGCGTGTGTGGGGCCCTCTTCCTCCAAGCACTGCCAGCACTTGGCTAACCCAGGGCTTACAGACCAGCCAGCACTAAGCCACCCACGGGCAGATTTTATTTGGCCCACACAGTACTTTTTTGTGTTTGAATTAGTTTTAACATTTAAAAGCTGAGGGATTTTGCGTTTAAAAATACCCAGATTTATGTCTTGCCTTGGAAATTTGGAACATCTGGCAATGCAGGGTCCCTCTTCCCATATGGCAGGCGCTGTCTGGAGCTAAATAAGCACCAGCCACGTGGTCTGAGCCATCCCTTCTTGGGGGTTCACAGGCACCCCAGCCCCCCAACACCTGTGGAACTTCAGCTGTGGACCCCTGGAAACACCCAAGGGCCTCTGAGGAGAAACCACTTGTTTTCCCCAGGAAGAGCAGATGGGACAATGGCGTGGAAAAGCTTGAGCCAGCAACTCACATCAGATGGCTCTGTGGGTTTCCCACATGAGAGCACAGGAGCTGTGGGCCTGGGCCGTGTGAGCTAAAGCCATTCTCTAAGGATCCTTGCCTTCTGGACCCAGCCACGCATGAGAGAAGACAGATGGGGGCAGAGTGAATGGGGAGAAGAGGGGGAGTTCCCTTCGGGGCTGAGGGATGTGGGGTACGCTAGCCAGACAGTGATGATGAAGTGTGGGCTGTGGCCCTGCTTGTTCGAGTCACCACTATTGAACATTAATCCTCTGGGGGGGGATGGAGCGTGCAAAGGTGTGGGCTGAGAGGGCTGAGTGATCCCACTGGTAGAGGGGAGCCGCAGAGGGCTCGTGCACCTCAGACAGCTCCCTAGGCTCCTGCACCTGGGCCTTATCCTCACATCAGGGTACCTGCAATCCTGCTCCTCTTGGCAAGCCCTGCTCCCTGGGGGGTGATGCAGGACACCATCCAAACCAGAGCCTTTAGAGCAGGCTGATCCTGTCTTCTTCCCACATACATTTTCTTTTTGTTGTTTTTTTTTTTTTGGGGGGGGGGATATTGTTGTTTTTTGAAACCAGGTATTGAACTTGGGACCTTGTGCTTGCCAGGCAGCCACTTAAGCCACTGAGCTAATATGCCAGCTCATCCTCATGCATTTTCAATGGACGCTGAGCAGTGAAAAATGTTTACCCCCCTCATTTTGTAGACAAGGAAATGAAGACTCCAAGTTTGGGGATCCCTGGCTCAGGGTCACAGAGGATGGCTACAGTTGCTCACCTAGGGTATTCTCAAGCTCTGAGCCCCACACAGGCAGGCCACCTGCTTGAGGGAGTGAAGGGCACAACTCCAGCCAGCACTGCAGATGGTGGACAAGCTTTGAGGCAGGGACAGTGTGTGTGTGTGTGTGTGTGTGTGTGTGTGTGTGTGTGATGGGGAAGCATCCTCACTCTGCCCAGTCTCCCTCATCACCACCACCACCACACCGCCATCAGCACCAGTACCATCCTGCTCCTCCTCTCATTACAACCATCACCATCACCATCACCCTCATTATCAACATCTTCACTATCATTGCTGTCACCATCATATCCCTGTCACCCCCACCATCATCTCCACCACCACCATCATATCGTCCCTTTTTCCTCCAACCCTTTTCTACCACTCCAGAATCAAACCTAAAGGTGGGGCAGGTGGATTGCTGACCTCCTTTCCTTCTCCCACTCATCTTGGCCTTGCAAGGGCGCAGACCAGCCCCCCTAGTGGGATGCTTGGGAATCTTGGTGTCAGCCCCAACAGCAGCGAGCTCCCGTCAGGACTCCCCCTCCACCCCCCCCCCATCTACCTGTGCAGCGTCAGTGGTTCCTGGGAGAATCCTCCTAGTGACTGGCAGGGCCTGGATGTACTCGGAGGTGATCCCTGGTTTGGAGGGGTTCTTAAGCAGACAGGAGTCACTCTGATACAGACAAGAGGGGTCCTGTATGCCAGTGGCAGGGTCCTCACGGAGGTTTACAGTGCATTCTATAGTAGCCTGTGCGCTCAGGAATTGCATAGATAGAAGCTATGCTTTTGCACAAGTTAAGAATGTGGGAAGGGGCTTTTACCCAAGTGGCGGCGTTCTTTCAGGAGAGGACACAGAGGGACAGGTTTTCGTTGCTGCAACAGGCCAAGACTTGTAAAACGCGGCGCAAATACCAGCACCCTTCACGGAGACGTGGAGATGCTCCTAAAAGATAACGGCGCCGCCAAGTCCCAGGGTAACAGCACAAGGCCGGGCCTTCCTGCGGACAAGGAAGGCTGTCAGCCTCGAGTCCACACGACCCACTCTCCAAGGCCAGGGAACCTAACCTGCCGGGCGCAGGTGGACGGCCCCTGGAGCCCCCTCGTGCCGCAGTTCCCTGCGCTGCCGCCAGGGGCAGCACTGAGTCCCATCCCCGCCCCGCGACTCCCGCTCGCTCCCCGGAGCCCGCAGACCCCACTCTGCCCGCGCCCCGCTTGGCTGCGCGGCTCCGCGTCGCCCGCCGGCCCTCCCGGGGCCATGGGGGCGCCCCCGGGCTACCGGCCCTCGGCCTGGGTGCACCTCCTGCACCAGCTTCCCCGCGCCGACTTCCAGCTGCGTCCGGTGCCCAGCGGCTTCGCGCCCCAGGAGCAGGAATACCAGCAGGTGGGAACCGAGCCCGCGCGGCCGGACCCAGACGGAGGGGCCGGGTCCCAGGTCTCCAGCGGGCGCGCGGGTTGGGGTGTCTGGGTGGGAGGGGCGAAGGGCGCCCGCGCCTGGAGCGGCCTGGGATGGCGCGGGGTCCGACCCCTCCCCTGGGTAAGGGGTACTGGGGCAGGGACCCCGAATCCTGGGGAGAGAGGGAGCTAGGCCAGCGGGGCGCAGGGACCTCGAGACCTGCCTGGAAGTCGCCACAGGGTCACCCAGGAAGGACCGCTTGGGGTCCCACGAGAGGACCCCGCCCCCACAGGACGGAGCAGGCGACAGTGTCCCAGATACAGTGGGCCCGGGAGAGCGGACCTGGCGCCGGTGGAGAGGAGGAAGGGGCGCCAGGTTCCGGACCGGGCGCAGGACTGGAATGAGGAAGGGGCTCGGGCCGGCTGAGGAGGGGGCTCCGGCGTCCCAGGACGGAAGAGTGGTTGGCCCGCGGAGCTGGGGCGCGGGTCCTGGGTGGCGCGGTGGGAACCTCGGAAAGCAGGGTCCCCGGGGAGGGGGCCCAGCCGCAGCTCCAGCGGGGAGCGCTGTCCCCTGACCCAGTTTAACGCAAGTCTTTGACTTTGAGATTAGTAAGCAAGAGGCTGGCGGGCGGGTGAGGGCGGGGGCCGGGGCCGGGGCGGGGGCTGGGCCGGGCGGGCGGTTCGGTTCTGGCCGGCGGGGTCCGTGCTGGGCACCCTTGCCTGGCGCGGCTCAAGCAGGCTCTGCGAGACAGCGAAACAGCCAAGCTATGTGGGTCACGGCCGCGGCTCCCCGCCTCCTGCGCCGCCCCCTCGACCTCCCCGCGCGCCGCCCGACCCACGGCGCTTACACAACACAGCGCGGCCGCTCACGCGCTCACTCCTCTCGGAGCCACTCAGCACCGTGGCCAGCGAGGCGCGCTCCGCCTCCTTGCACGCAGGTCACAACCCCAACACTGGGACCCTGCCGCGTGCAAAGGGTGAGGGCGACAGGGAAACACGTACACAACACATTCACTCACATGCACACACATACTCGTGTGCACATGCATGCACACTCAGCTCATGCACACATACACGTGTGCATACACTTGTATGCACACATGTATGCATACAGCATACATATACACACTCCCATGTGGACATACACCCACACATACTTCCACGTATGCATATGCACACACATGTGCACATATACACCTGTGCATGGCTATACATGTATATACACAAGTACGTGTACATGCATACACACATGATCTCACATGTACATGCTCAAGTGTACATGCACTCCCACAGGCATACACTACATGCTTACACACATGCTAACTCACACTTAACACTCATGCTGCACACACATTTCATCTATACACATACTGTCATATACACAGTCCCACACTCACACATGTACACGCTCACACAGAAAAACAAATATTGATTCTGACACTCACTGTATACACACCTATAGAGACACAACACACACACATACACACACACACTCGTGTGTGCTCCTTCTCAGACTCCCAAACATGCACACCACTGGCTTCTCCACAGACTGAGAGCTGTGTCCACCAGAGTCCTCCCCCTGCCACCTCCACACCATGACACACGCCTTACACTCATACTCACACTCACACTCGGGGTCTCCCCATCACATAGCAAAAAGCTCCACAAGGAAACATAGTCTCTCCGAAACCCAGCACTGACACACTCTGACACAGAAGATGGGGGTAATAGATGGGGAAGGAGCCCCTCGCTGGGCACAGCAGGGGGTGCTGATGCCCAGGCCACCAGGCAGGCCCGCCCCGCCCTGGGCCTCTGGTGCACAGGAGCCCAGGGCTGCTGCTACCCAGGCCTGGGAGCGGCTGTCATCTGCCCCTGGCCTCTGTGCTCCCAGCCTGGCTCTGACGCCCCGTCCTCTGTACACATCTATCCTTCCTTCCCCTCTCCTTCCCTGTGGCTCTTCCCTCCCCTCTCTCCCAGCTCTGCCTCTCCTTTCTGGCCTGGCCTTGGGGCCCATGTCTCCTCCCTTCCCTCTGCTTGCTCTTCACCCTCCCACCCCACTCTCTGAGGACACACACAGACACACACCACACACGCTAGCTGTCACAGAGCACACCATCCCATGTCCCCACTCCCCAGCCCCTGGGTGACAGACTCATGCTGCAGTGGGTGTGTGAGCTCAGCAGTGGGGAGACAGAGAGCTTCGAAGGGCAGCAGCGGGAGGGTGAGGAGGCCGTCTCTCTGCCTCCCTCTTGCAGGGCTGGGTGACGCTCAGATCCCAGACAGCTCTGTGGAGCCTCGGCAGGTCCCTGGGAGACACTCCATTTCCATGGCCTCTCTGCAGAGAGGACGCAGGGAGGCTCCAAGAGGGAGGAACACACAGCCAGAGGGGGACAGTGTGGAGCTGGAGCCCAAGGCCTGGGCAGCATCCTAGCCCTAAATCCTGGAGCCCCAGATACTACCTTGGGAGGGGCTGGTGACCCTACCTTTCCCCACAAACCTGAATGCCATCAGGGTGGGCTGGGCCCGTACCTGCAAGGGACCCTCTGAGGCTTGGTGTTTCCCCTTCCCAGGCCCTGATGCTGGTGGCGGCCTTGGCGGGCCTGGGCCTGGGCCTGAGCCTCATCTTTATCGCTGTCTACCTCATCCGCTTCTGCTGCTGCCGGCCCCCTGAGCCCCCTGGGGCCAAGAGCCCCTCGCCTGGGGGAGGCTGCGTCACCTGGAGCTGCATTGCCGCCCTCCTCGTCGGCTGGTAATGGGGCCCCAGGGTGGCGCGGCGTGGGCAGGCTCCCAACGCTCACTCCCTGCTGCTCTCGCTCTCCCCGCCAGCCTCCTGGGGTGGGGTCAGACACAGGAAGGCGAATCCCACCCGCCCTCTGCAGGGAGAGTCGGGCCCACTTGGGGGCTGGAAGAGCTGAGGCCTTAAGGAGAAATGGCCTTCCCGAGGGAAGGAGTGGGCTCAACAGCATGGCACTGATAGCCCTTGAGTAGCTGTACTCCTCTGGGCCCCAGAGTCCGCAGCTTAAAGCGGGTTTCCCAGCATGAGCCAGCCGCTGGCAAGCCCAGGCTAGGCGAGCACGCAGTGCCAGCCTCTCAGGTATCCTTAGTAAGTGACAGCAGCGGCCCCCACACCGCTGCTGGACGGGCTGGGCCGGGAGCTTCATGCCCGAGGCCCGTGTTCACGCGTAGGTGCTCAGAACCAGCAGCACAGCTCTGTGCTCAACCCCGGCCTGCTTAGGGACTTCCCTCTCACTTGCTGGACCTCAGAGTCGGCTCAGAGAGATAGAGGAGGCAATGCTCAAGGTCTCATGGCTCAGGAGGCAGAGTTGAGGATCAGAGAACTCCCAAACCTAGGGCCTTCTCGAACTCGCTGTGAATGAGGGCCACTCCAAGCCCAGCCCCGCCCTGCTGCTGGGCTGCTCCTGCTTGGCCAGGACACTCAGTGCCACAGATGAGAGGACTGGGAGCTCGAAGGCCCGACCTGCAGGCCCGTGGCACACACCGCTGAGGCTCTTATGCCCAGCCAGGGTCAGGGCCTGGAGCAGGTTGCCCCAGCTGGACTGTGGCTGGACCACACTGCCAGGCCTTAGGGAGAAGAGGGTGTATATTGGGGTTTCCTAGAGGGCTGGGTGCCCTGTATCCAAGGCACCTCCTCATCTGACTCTCCAGAGCAGGGGTGGGTGTTGAGATGGACAAAGGCCCAGTGGGCGAGAGACCCGGCCCAACCCCCACAGCCTATGAAACAAGGGGAGCTTTGTCAGGTTCTGAACAATGGGGCTGGGGGCATTGGGCGCCCATCCCAGGACGGGGGTGGGGTCCGAGTAACCAGGCTGGGAACTCTGAGGGCAGCAGGCTCTCGCCCCCTGGCAGCGGCACATGGGCTGGGGGAGGGGCGTGGGCCCCCACGTTCAGACTCCACAATGGAGCTCTGTGTGTTGGCTGGGCTGGGGCGGCTGCCCACTCCTGGCCCACCCCTGCCCTCCCTCCCACATTCTCATACTCCTCTCCCAGCCCATGCTTGGGCTACTGGGAGGGCCAGGAGGCTTCGAGCTCCAAGAGATGCAGGTGGCTGGAGTCCCAGTGCTGTGAAGGGCACCGAGATGGTCAGGATCCCCCTGGGGGCAGGTGCTGAGGGTCTCAGTGCTCCTAGGACAGGGATGGAGAGTGCTGGACGATGGGCTAAGGGTGTGGAACAAGTCACCACTGGGTGGGTGACTTCTCCAGGGTGCCTCCCTGCTCTGGGGAGGTTCGAGTTAAATCTGGGGGCTCTACCCCTCTGCCACTCCACCCACCATTAGCATCACAATGACGTTCCTCTGCTGGGGGAGTGAGGCCCTTCCGTTACCTTGGTGACTGGGCTGGGTGGGTTAGCTAGAGACACCCTTTTCCCACAGAGAACTGGACCAATAGGATGGGCGGAAGATGAGGGAGCTAGAAGAGGAGGCCAGGCTGAGGGGTGCCTATGGAGGCCAGTGTTCTCCAGGAACCCCCAAACCGGCTGAGATCTCCTCTCTGTTCTCCTCTTCTCAGCGCTGGCATTGGCATTGGTTTCTATGGCAACAGCGAGACCAGTGATGGGGTGTCCCAGCTCAGCTCGGCATTGCTACATGCAAACCACACGCTCAGCACCATTGACCACCTGGTGAGGCACCCAGCAGCTACTGACCAGACCCCTGACCCTCAACTGGACATGTGGGGCCTACACTCAGGAAATGGGGTCCAAACTTAGAGCTCAGAAGACCCCAGACTCAGGAGTACACAATCAGAAGTGCACCCTTTGGGCTGCATCTCACCCTCAGAACCCTGCACCTGCCCCCAAACTGGCTCAGACCTGGACCCAATCTCAGATCCTGTCCCAGGCCTCCACTTCAACCTGGAGCCTGAACAAAGACAAATGTGAGGACCACAGGCCCTGTGCTTGGGCCAGATCTAGGGCTGCATACCTGACCCCTGGCCCAAATTCAAGCTCGGGATCCCTGTCCTGAGACCCAGGGGTTCAGGCAGCAGCTGAGAAGCGGCTCCACAGCCAGACTCAGGTTTCATGTCAAGTTGCACTGCACGCCCAGATGCTGGGTCGCGGGACCCAGGTGTGAGATCCTGTACACAGGAAGGCAGGTGCAGACTTCAGACCTGAGCCCCCAAACCTAGTCCCTGTGTGGGGCCGGGATCTTCGCCCCAAGACCTGATGGAGCCACAGGACCCCATGGCAGGACCTCAGAGTCCCTGGGGACCCTCCGCAGTGCTCAGGTTCTCAGACACCTACTACCACTCAGCATGCTTCACCCCCAAACCTGTCCCAGGGACGCCTTCCCCAGACTGAGAGGTTTCCCTCTCCAGGTGCTGGAGACGGTGGAGGGGCTGGGCCAGGCCGTGCGCGTGGAGCTGACCACCCTGGAGGAGGTGCTGGCCGAGCGCACAGAGCTGGTGGCTGCTGCCCGCGGGGCTCGAAGGCAGGCGGAGGCCGTGGCCCAGCAGCTGCAGGGGTTGGCTTTTTGGCAGGGAGTGCCCCTAAGTCCCCTGCAGGTGGCTGAAGAGGTGTCCTTTGTGGAGGAGTACAGGTGAGCTGGCATCTCCCACCTGCTGTGCAGCAGTTCTCAAACTGGGCTCATAGAGGGCACTGGGCAAAGTCTGGGGACAGTTGGGGCTGACATAACTGGTGTCAGGTGAGTGGAGGCCAGGGGTACTGCTCCAGAGGACTGCTGTGCCCGAGGTCAGTGTGATGGGCTGCTGAAGCCTGCTGCATCTCGGTGGGTCCGGTGGCTCCGGGCCCATGTCACCTGCACACATTCCCCCCTCGGCTCACACTTCCGGTTACAGCCCTGCCCTTTTATCCCCTTATTCATTCTGGGTCCCACTCAGCAAACTACTGCATTCAATCACTCTGAACTAACATGGCAAGTCAGCCACTCACTCCACCCAGCAAGTACTCACTTAGACTCTGGAGAGAGATGTGACCTCAGCAAGCTGCGTGCCTCCCAGCCCCGGGCGTCAGTTTCCCTCCTGTGAAGTGAGCCTCGTGGTAGTGATGCACCCTGCATTGGGGAGGGTGTATTAGAGTCTGTGAGTGCTGGGGAGGTAGATGGCTCTTGGTGAGTGCTGAAGGGTGTCCCTAATGTGGATGTACCCGGCCTGGGGTGGGGCAAGAGCACCTGACAGAAAGTCCTGCCCCACCAGGCCCTTCTCTCCCCGCAGGCTGGGGCACCAATAGAAACAAATGCAAGAAGGGAAAACGTGTCATTGTTAGGGTGGTGGGTAGTGAGAGTTTTGGAGAAAATTAAACAGAGAGGGACCTGGGTGGGGACAGCTGGCAGTTTGTGTTTGTGTCAGGTGGTCCAAGAGAGCCACACCCAGAGGGTGGCACTGAAGGAGAGGACACAGCTGTGTGTGCAGCCCTCTGCAGTGGCCTCCCTGTCCCAAAGCCAGCAAGGTGCAGTCTTCATTGCTTGGTCCACTAGGAATTATTTTTCATTCGCCTGGCTTGGGGTCTGGGATACAGAAGAAACCCCCCTGGAACTGTTGCTTGGTGCAGGCTGCCCCACCCCTGAGAGTCCTCATAGTCGGAGTCCCCAGGACATGTCTGGGACAGCCCCAGGCAGCAGGGATGAGGGGAGAGCAGCCACCGCTAAATGGGGACCCTCGAGAAGGGCGCCACTTAGTAGGAGCTTCCTGTGTGCCCGGCCCTGTGCTGTGGCTGCCTGTGGCTCCTGCCTGGCAGTCACGGAGGATTAGTCTCTTAGGTCTAATTAATTATTGAGCACCATTTAAAGCTCCCTCCGTAGAGTAAGTCGGTCCACGGCGTCACTCTGCTGAGACTTATGTGCATTAACTCATTCATCGGGCCTCAACCTTTGAAAGTTAGCAGTCTTGTGCACCTTGCATTACAGGTGGGGAAACTGAGGCAAGGAGGTTAAAGCCCTGGGCTAGCTATAGAGCTAGCTAAGTGGAGGGCTGGGCTGCTTCCAAAGACGAGCCCCAGGGTTGCTTACTGAGGTCCTGGTGCCTGCTAAACCAGCTCTGCTCTGCAGGGCTGGGTGGGGAATCCAGGCTCCAAGAGGCCGAGTCAGACGCCCACCCTTACAGAGCTTGTGGCCCAGTCAGGGCTCAGTCCCCGGGTGTCCTGCCTCCTGGGTGCCATCTCAAAGCGGTTGCCAGGCTGTGCTGGGCTCCAGGTGACCCTGAGGGTGTTGGTGTTCTTTGCCGAGGTGGGCTGGGCTGCACGTGGGGCGCGCGGACCTGCTCCAAGCTTCGCTGCCCGGCCCTCCTTCCCAGGTGGCTGGCGTACGTCCTCCTGCTGCTCCTGGAGCTCCTTGTCTGCCTCTTCACCCTCCTGGGCCTGGCGAAGCAGAGCAAGTGGCTGGTGGTCGTGTGAGTGCCGACTGCCTGCCCCTGGCTTGTTCCTTGGGGAGGGCCCCAGGCCAGGCTTCCTCTGTGCGTGTGGGACCTAGCGCCCCTGGTGGTAGGAGCCTAGCTGCGCAGCTCCCTTAGTCCCTTGCTGGGTGCACAGAAAGGAGGCCCGAGGCATCCTGGGATGGCCCCACGCGACCTGGAAGAACCATGGGAACCCACTGGCCAAGCTCCCAGTAAGGACAAGGCTGACCACTGGCACCTGTGCCCGCTGGAGGCCAGGCACCCTGGCTCCCCATGACGGGGACACCATTAGGCTGTCACCCAGGAGTGGAAAAGCCTGCAGCAAAGGCCGCCCGGTTGTGTAGGGACACAGGTGCTCATTTGCCGTAACACCTTGCTCTATATTCCGCCTGCCACTCTTTCGGGCACTCATGGAACCCTGTGGCCTGGCCTCTGAAGCAGGTGCTTCTGCCCTTGGGTAACGGAGGCCACAGAAGGTCAGAGAGGTTGAGGTACTTGTTTGGCTATTCAACTAGAAGGTGCTGCAGCTGGGGTTCACACCAGCCAGCCTGGCGTGGGGAGAGCCCGCTAGCCTCCTCGTCCTGGCAGGAGGGCCTTTTATGTGCATCTCAGCATCCTTCTGGCCTGTGACCCCCATCACCACACTCACCTCCAGCCCCACCAACTGTAGGGAGAAGCCAGGCCAGATTCAGCCCTGGAACTGATCCCGCACGTCAGAGTAGCACACAGGGCTGAGGGGCAGCTGGTGCACTGGGGAGCAGGCTTGGGAGGTCCTGGAACCCGCAGAACTGCAACCAGAGGCAGCACTGGGCCCCCGCCCCCGCCCCAGCCTGCAACTGTGGGTCTACACACCCTGCCTCACTCTCTGCTGTACTTGGATTCTCTGGACCCCAGGGCTCGTGGGGTAGGGGTGCTCTGTGGCAGGATGAGAAGTCACAAGCCAAGGGGAATGTGGGTGGCCTGGGCCCTTGGCTAAGCCCGTGCCGCCCTCCAGGATGACAGCCATGAGTCTTCTGGTGCTTGTCCTCAGCTGGGGGTCCATGGGCCTGGAGGCAGCCACAGCCGTGGTGAGTTCTGGGGCCCTGACGCCTGAGCCCTAGGCAGGGTGTGGGCCAGCACCTGAGGCTGAAAGGAGGACGGGGACGCAGTCACGGCTTCTAAGTTGGGGAGGGTTTCCTGTGTCCTGTGAGGGCAGAGGCAGGAGGCCCGGACATCTGGGCTCTAAGCAAGGAGGGGCTGGGCCTAAACCTCTGAGTCTGAGGAGGGAGGCTGAGCCTGCACCCCAGGTCTAAGGGAGGAGGGCTGGGAACCAGGAAAGGGTGTTGGGGATGCGGCCGTGGCATCCGGCCTGCTTTCTCGCTCAGGGCCTCAGCGACTTCTGCTCCAATCCAGACACTTACATCTTGAACCTGACCCAGGAGGAGACAGGGCTCAGCTCAGGTGACTGCCTTCGTCCCCACTGTCCCCAGGCTTCCCAGGGCCCTGTCCTCCTGGGTGGGTGAGGGCTGTGTACCAGTCTCCTGGAGTGCTCAGTGCCTCCCCTGGCTTGCTGGAAAATAGGCTAGATAAAAATGCCAGGAGGAAGGGCTGGCCAGGTAGCTCAACAGGCTAAAGTGCCTGCTTAGGCAGACTGCAGAGGCCCAGTTGGATCCCCGGGGTGCTCTGCCTGCCCCACCCCCAGGGCATGCAGACACTGTGGATTGAGACTGCACTTGGTGGTGTACGCCTGTAATCCTAGCTCTTGGGAGGCTGAAAACAGGAGAATCACTACAAGTCCTGTCTGTGTAGTGAGACCCTGTAGACCCCGTACTAAATTAAAAAAAAAAAAAAAAAATTCTGGGAAGAGGGAGGGAGAGGGGTCCGTCAGCAGGCAGAGGCCGCCGGAGGTGGTGGAGAGCACATGCGCGAGGCTCTGGGAAGCACCAAGAGCCAGGCTGGGGATGTCCCTGGGCCCTGCCCCCCACCTCCCCAGGGCAGGTCCTGGGAGCCCGGCTCACAGCGCCCCTTCCCCCTCCGCTTCAGACATCCTGAACTATTATTTCCTGTGCAGCCATGCCATCTCCAACCCCTTCCAGCAGGTGAGGGCTGTGGGCAAGGGAAACGGCACCGAGGGGACTACAAAGGGGCGCCCCCATGGGAGGAGAGCAGGGCTGGGTCCAGCGTCGGGGGCCCCACCGTGGGGAGAAGGCCAGAGCATTGGCCATGGGTCCTCCCTCCTTCTCACAGAGGCTGACACTGTCCCAGCGAGCGCTGGCCAACATCCACTCCCAGCTGCAGGGCCTAGAGCGAGAGGCTGTCCCCCAGTTCCCGTCTGCGCAGGTCAGTGGACTGGACCACAGGGGCAGGTGGACCCGCAGGGTCAGATGGAACCCACACGTAAGGGATAGGCGGGCCAGTTGGCCCTGGACCCAGTGGAGGGAGGGGCCCGTGGGGCGGGCCCGAGTTGTGGATGGGGCAGGCCCGCCTCCAGAGTGGGTGGGGTCACTACCTCCCCTCCCACCACAGAAGCCTCTGCTGTCCTTGGAGGAGACACTGAATGTGACAGAGGGAAACTTCCACCAGCTGGTGGCCTTGCTGCACTGCCGTGGCCTGCACAAGGTCTGTGCCCTTCCCCGGGACTTCCTCCTGAGGGGAGACTTGCCTCAACTCGCAGAGGGACCCTCTTCTTGTCGAGCATCTCCCGTTGCCCGCGTCGGTGTCGGCGTATCCGTGTACCTTGCTGTTCGCTCCCTGTTAGCCTCCTACCACCTATCCTTTCATCCGTCACTACCATTGCACTCCCTCCCCCTCGTTCCCCGTCCTTTCTCTTCACCCTCTTCCTCGAGGCCCACAGCTTGTTGAGCTCTGGGGTGAGCCTGGGTTCCAGTCCAGGGCAGGTCCCCAGCCCCTCTGTGCCTCAGCTTCATTGTTTTCAAAGCCAGTTACACCCAAGTACCCCTCCAGGTAGGTCATGGAGCAGGATGGGCAGAAGCCCGGGGAGCTCATTCCCAGTATGCTTTGCTGCAGTCGCGAGACTCATTCACGCCTGCATCCGAGTCTCAGTTGCTCTGCCTGAAAGGTGAGGATGGACACATCCTTCAGGGGACCCTGTGAAGGCTGGAGAGAGACTCACCCTCATAAAACAGCGCGACTTTGTCTAAGTCACTTTCCCCATCACCCCACCACTGACATGCAATACCCGATGCAACTTAAAGGAAGAGGCATTTATTTTGTTTCAGTGATTAAGCTTTAGGCCCTGGTTGGCAGCCTTCCATGCAGAACCAGCATGGCGGAAGGCCTGGGTGGAGGAAAGCTGGTCACTGTGGTGGCCAGGAAGCTGAGAGGGCAGAGCCAGGGCGAGGGGCCACCCTTCCCTGTCACCCCCCACCCCTCTTCTGACTGCGCTCCACCTCCCAACAGCACACTGACTCAACCCCGCTCCTGCAGCCCCGCCTTGGATCACACAGACTTGGAGGACAGCAATCTAGAAATCTAGATCTAAACTGTAACATTCCACCGCTGCCCCATGTGCGTGCCTTTATGCAAAACACATTTAGTACATTGCTAGGAGTCACCAAAGTCTTAACAGTTCCAGCTTTGCTGAAAGGTCCAAAGTCTCTTGAGACTCAAGACAAACTCTTAGAGGTGAACTCTGTAACAATGAAGAAAGAGAATTAAACGTTGCCAATATACAATGGCAAGTGGTAAACGCCCCCAGTCCAAGAGGGAGGAATAGGAAGATAGAAAAGAATGGGATTAGGGCTTGATTCCAGGCATGCAGTGCTGGCCCCATCCCTGGGGCGCCCTGAGACAGTGACTGAGACTGGGAGCGGAGGTGCACCTGTAATCAAAGCGCTTGGGAGGCTGAAAACAGGAGGATCACTACAAGTCCGATCTGTGTAGTGAGACCCTGTAGACCCTGGACTATATACATAAAAAAAAGAATGGGATCAAACCAAGACTGAAACCCAGCAGGGCAAACATTAGTCCCTGTAGCTGTGTCCAGGACCCAGAGCAATTCATGACAAACTGTGAGCTCTAGAGCTGGGTGTGGTAGCACACATCTGTAATCCCAGCACTCAGGAGGCTGAGGCAGGAGGATCGTTGTGAGTTAAAGACCAGCCTGAGCTACAAAGTCAGCTCAGGCTAGCTTTGAGCTGCGTAGTGAGACCCTGCCTCAAAAGGACCCCCCCCCCAAAAAAAAAAAGTGTGTGCTCCGTAAGGCCCGGGCAGCGTTGCCCCACGGTGTTGCCTGTTGCAGCCCTCACGGCCAGCCTGCTAGGCAGGCTCTGCAGCTTTCCATAGATGATCCACTTTCCTGGCTTCTCGAGCTTCCTGGGCTCCACTGCAGTCGTGGCTTCATGCCCTGCCCTCTCGGGGCGCACTGCCTGGCCTTCCAGGGTGGAAGCCAGGGGGCTTTGTGGAGACAATCTAGATCTAAACTGTAACAGACCCATTCTAAAACCTTGACCTGATTGCTCCCAGCTCCTGTCCTGACATGACAGCCTGCGCACACACAGGGCGCCCCACGCACCGACTCTGTGGTGTCTCACAGGTGCTACCTCCTCCTCAGAACACAAGAACTGTCTTACCCCACGCTGCAGACCTGTGTGTGTGTGTGTGGGGGGGTGACGTGTGCTCAAGGTCACACGTCCCAGGAGACAGGGACCCCTCAGAGTGCTGCTGACCTCCCGTGTGCCCGCTGCACAGCCTGCCCCTTCTGCTTTGGGAGTGTCTCCCCCAACCCACACTAAAGGCCCTGCTCAGCTCAGCCGTGGCCCTCTGCCCAGGAGGATATACACCTCCACCACTCGCCCACCTCGGCCTGCTCAGGGACTGGACACCAGAACTGGACACCAGGTCGAGCAAATAGGGAGCCTGCCTGTACTGCGATGCCTTTGTGGAGTGGTGATTATGCCAGATCACTCCCTGAAACTCAGTTTATTTATTTATCGGCAGAACTGGGGATTGAACTTAGGACCTTTATTCTACTGAGCTCTCCCCAGCCCCCTCAATTTCAATTTGGTGGCACCGCCTGTACTACGGGGCACAGGGTCTGCGCTCAGAACACCAGGCTGGAGGCTGAGGAAGGCTCTACTCCACAAGCACGATCTGTGGGTCCAGCCTGGGCTGCAGCCTCTGAGAAAGGAGAGGGGTGGAGGAGCCAGTCTCAGCCAGCAATGCACCACGTGACACTGGGCCTTGGCTTCCCCATGGGACCTCAGGTTCCCCACATAGGGCAGCAGTGAGGCTGCGAGAACAGTGGTTGGAGTCTAGATGGGCTTCAGAGGCAGCCAGTTGTGGGTGGCATGAGGTAGGAGGGGAGGGAGCACAGAGGCCCTCCCTGAGGGGTGTGGCAGAGCCAGCCAGAGAGGAGGAAGGAGCTGAGGGGCTTGGCTCCTCCCAGGCTGTGTGGCCTGCCCTCTCCAGGCTTCTGCTTCTTTCCCAGCCACAGCAGCAGCAGCAGCAGCAGCAGCAGCACGAGCAGCTCAGTCTCTGCCTGGCAGGGCTCGGGAGGAACCAAGGGGGCTGCAGCTGTGCCTGCTGCCCTGAGCAGAGCACCTCACCCCGCCTCCCCACGCACGGTTCTTTCCTGTCCCCCTTTGTCCCATCTGTCCACCCCCAGCCAACAGCTGGCAGAGCTTTCAGCACACAATCCGATCAAGGTCTCCTCCACCTAAAAGCCTCCAGTGGTTCCCCCTGCAGAGATTAAGCTCCGGCTACCTGCTGACCTCAGACCATCGCCTCACCACACTGCACGGCAGCCTCATGGCCTGAGGCTGACCCCAGTGGGCCATCTGCCCTGTCCCCGTTGGCTCCGTCCCTGACTTCAGCACTGTGTTGTGATCTCCCGTCTCCCTGCTGTTATTGAGAATGACCTTCTGGGTCCTTGTGGAAGGGCCCTGGCCCTGGGAGCGTGGTGCGGAGCAGGCCGGCGCTCAGTCCAGTCCTGCAGAACGCGCTGGGGCCTGCTCCTGGCTCAGGGTCACTGTTGTCCTGCTGAGTCCTGTGGGCACGACAGCCAGCACTGCTGGACGAGCTATGTGAGGGGTCTCCAGCTGTCACCCCTGCTTGGCGCCAGGCAGGTGATCTGGACCCAGCCGGGCCCTGGCCATGCGCGCAGCAGACACGCTGGCGGCACAGCAGCAGAGGCAGGCCGCCGTGGGCCTCTAGCTAGCAGAGGTGGCGGGGTGCTCACGCTGCACGCATTCCCAGGCACCCTGGCTCCAGCCGTGTAGGGAACGCCTCCCTCCCCAGCCCGGCAGCCGCCCTTTGATGGGGAGCAGGCAGGGCACGGCGGCAGGCAGGGCGGCGCGGGGCGCCTGTGTGCGAGCACCCACATGCTCCCCCCAGGACTATAGCGCAGCACTACGTGGCCTGTGCGAGGACGCTCTGGAGGGCCTGCTCTTCCTGCTGCTCTTCTCGCTGCTGTCTGCTGGGGCCCTGGCCGCCGCCCTCTGCAGCCTGCCCCGCGCCTGGGCCCTCTTCGCGCCCAGGTCAGCAGGGGAGAGAGGGCAGGGTCCCGGGGGAGGGGACAGGCAGCATGTCCCAGGGCCACTGCTGGGGAGGGTGTGGCCTCCTGATGGGTCCCCATCCTGCTTCTCTGCCGCTCCCATCACATGCCAGTGACGACTACGATGACACGGAGGACGATGACCCTTTCAACCCTCAGGTGTGGACCTGGGTCCGAGGGAGGAGGCCGGGTCTGGACTCCCAGGTCTGAGGCCTGGAGGTTCACTGCACGAGGTGGGTTCCACTCGGTCTCCTGTCCCCACTCTCTCCGGCAGGAATCAAAGCGCTTTGTGCAGTGGCAGTCGTCTATCTGAGCCCCTCCTCCTTGCCAGCCTGGAGCCTGCCTCCCCTCCTCGGTGAGCTCCAGGAGGCACCTGGCTCTTTCCGGGCCTTGGCCGGCCCCTCCAGCACCCTAAGGCGCTTCCTCTGGGTGGGTGTCACCGGGTGGCCCGCTGGCCATCAGCACGCTGTCTCTGCCTCTCTCTGCAGTTCCTTTCCTGGCTGCCAGAGGAGACCCCACTAACCTGGCCTGACTGGGCTCTGACCACTAACACTCCTGGCCGTGGACACCCCACACAGGACTGCCTTGTGCCCTGGCCCCAACGCCCTCCATCTTCCTTAGCCCTGGAGGCTGCTGCAGGGGCCGAACAGAGACCAAGGCTGGCAGGGGAGGGGCACAGAGCCAGCCCCAAGCCCCTCACTGCCAGTCTCATCCCTGGTGGAACTGAGCTGGGGCAGGGACATGTTTCTCTGCCCCTGCCCCATTCCGGTGGGTTCCAGCCCCAGATCTGAACTTGTGACACTAACTTGGAAAAGGGTTGATACGAAATAAAAGGGAAGTCTTTATTTTCCGAGCCACTGAGTTCTGATTTTTCCCCTGCCTGGGTCCTGCTCCCGCCCAACCTGCGGAGGCGGGAAGCCTCCCTTCCGGGGGCTGTGAGGCCATGCTGCCTGGCTCATGCTCAGCAGCAGCTCTGATTCAGAAAGGCCAGGAAAACTAGAAACGGCTCCGCACGCAGAGCCCCCTCGAGAGCTTGCGGAGCTGTTTAAAGCAGCGCTCAATCCACTCGCTCTCCATCTCGCGAGGCTTCTGCAGGAGAGGAACACGTCACGCAAGGCACCGCAAAAAGGAAATGACAACTGGACGAGTCATGGAATTGAATAAAACAGGTCAAAGGCAAACTTACAGTCTGGTGAATAGTATGTGTGTTCAGCACATACGGTAAAGACATACACTCCTTTCTACAAATATGGCCATAAGCTAAAAATAAGCAACTAAGACGAACATCTGAAGTGCAAAATGCCAGGGTCTGTTTCTAAATGGACAAAGTCTAAGAATTAGGAAACATACTGTGAAACAATCAGCAATTACTTTTTTCCACTCCTGAATTATGTGAAATTAAAGAGGGTGCCGGGCAGGCCCGACAGCTCAGGAGATTACAGCGCCTGCTCAGGCAGACGCGGGGACCAGGGTTTGATCCCTGGCACCACACGCCGTGCCAGCCCCGCCCCGCCCCCCAGAGCCCTGAGAAAGCCGGGTGACTGCGAGTGGGCGCCGTGGCGCGTGCCTACAGTCCCAGCGCAGCAAGAGAAGTCCAAAATATGTACTGAAATCTAAATAACGCCTAGCGCTCAGCTGAGAGTAATATGCCACTGTCGCTTTCTCAGTTTTGACAAACCACAGGAATAGAGATGACACTGGATTAGCCGCAGGGTACACGCTTAACTCCCTATTAGCTTTGCAATTTTCGCGATGGATCTCAAAGCAAAACGCCTAAGCTGTTTGGAAACCATCAGTGCTTACACTAACAACACGAGAAAAAGGTCTCCCGACGGTAGGTAATTAGTGCACACTGTTCTTCCACCTAGTCGGACGCCCGGCCCCAGCCCCCGCCCTGGGCAACGCGCTGCAGCCGCGGCGAGCTTGCAGGGCCCAGGCGCGGCGCGGTGCACGCCCGCGGCCTCGCTCCGCGCCGGCATCCCACGCGGCCCCGCAGCAACGCGCCACTGCCCGCTCCAGCTGCGCAGTCCTAGGTTTATTTACTAGAAAGCTCCCCTTCCAAGCAGACTCTTCGCCTCACGCCCTTTGAGCGCATTATTCTCTTCCCTGGCCTTACACGTCACGACGCTGTGAGTTGTCCCACAGTTCTCAACGCTCCGGCTCACATTCAGGGATAATAATGGCTGCCTAGCACTGGATCAAAACAAGGTTTCCCCAAAGGGCGGTGGAACCGGAAACTCGGCCTGTTTGACCCTTCGGGGCCACCGTCCCTACCCCTACTTCCGGCTTTTATAAAAAAAAAACCACCCGTATGATTGAGTGGGCGGAAAGGCGGGCTCAAACCCAACAGACAGTGCCCATTGGTTGCTCGGGGAGGGGGCGGGTAGAAACCTCCGTATGACGTCAGGACGTCGCGGTCAAGACGTAGAAGCCAAAGAAGACAGGAGCCTGCCGGGTAGCTGAGCGTTTTCGTGACCGTGTTGCTATCGCCTTGGGTCGCTGCTGACAAGTCTTGAAAGCGTATAGACCTGGTTTGTGTGGGGATTGGCGGGCGGGGACGGCCTCTGCATCCGGCCCCGTGGCCTCGAGCCTGAGGCACACTCGGCGGTCGTTCCAACAGACGCCGTGCGGGCGTCGCCTGGGTGTGGCGGCCGTGTGGTCATTGCGCCTGCGCACCGAGGTGGGCGCGCGCCCGGCTCCAAGGCGCGCGCTCGGTTAGCGCGCGTGCGCTGTGGCTTTCTTCTGCCCCTCGGAACTCTGTGACACACAGAGCCGGCCTACCCCTGCCCCTAGTGACTTGCGGTTTGGCGGGCCGCCCTGTCGCCCCGGCGACGGCGCCCAGGCGCGGCGTCCTCCTTCGCCTTCCCCGGGCCTGCGGGTGGTTAGGTGCTGACCCGCTCGTTGACTTCTCTGGTTCCTGTCGCGGTCGCCCTTCGCTGATCTTATTCCCGTCTGCTTCCTGCCTTTGGGCCTCCCCCTAGGTCCCCCCACTCAAGACTTCTTTTTCTTCTCCACTCAAGTTCTGTGCCCTCTTTAAGGTCGTTTTATTTAGAGCTCTCTCCAGTTAAGATTTCAGTTCTGTGTCATCACCCTCCGGAGGTTTCCGGGTTCTGCAGTGGGATTTATTCCTGCTTCTCATTTAATCCCTCCAGGCGTTGAGGCCCTTGAGCCCAAGTCCTCGAGAGGATCTTTTTCTTCCTGTACTCTTGTCCTGCCCGTAATGATTTTGTAAAGGTATTGTGGGCCTCCGTAGGTGTCCTCAAACCTTTATCTTAACCAAGAGTATCTCCACTCTCCTAGGACTACCTTCCTGGGAACCTTCGGAACAGTTCTCTTCTGCCTTCAGGCTACTGTTTTGAAATTAATCTCTCCATGCTTTCTTCAAATGGAAGTTCCCTCTTAAGCAATTGAACTTATGCCTCTTCTCAGAGGAACTTCTAGAAATCCCTCAGTCAAATTTACCTGCATTTGGCAATATTCTCCCAGCTCCTCCCACAAAATGCTTTCTTCTTCCCACGTTTCTCAGCCTTAAAAGAGTTTTTGGAGACCTTTCCCACTGTGCAGCATCTTTCTACTTTCTCTCAAAATCACTGCTGTCTGGAGTTATTTCTATAATTTTTTTGAGGGAAGGTCTTGCTGTGTAGTTCAGGCTGGCCTCAAACTCAAAGTGATCTTCCTGCCTCAGCCTCTTGAATGCTGGGATTACAGTAGTGATAGGCCACCCAAGGGTTGGAGTTATTTTTAGGTCTCTTCCTTTTTTTTTGGTGGTACCGGATACTGAATTCAGGACCTTGTGCTTGCCAGGCAAGCACTTATTCCACTGAGCTGTCTCCCCGGCCCTTCTTTCCTTTACTTCTGACTCTTCTTTTTCTCTTGTGGATTCCAGGCTTTTTTCTTTGAAAAGCCCCTTTAAACTTCTTGGTTTTCAAGTCCTTGATTTTCCATCTGTACCACTGTGGGAAGGTCAGTGCTATCTATTCAAACTCTAGCCCTTTGTTCCACACCCAGAATTTTCTTCAGGTCTTTACCCCACTGGCTCTGATCTCAAACAAAAGTCCTAATGCCTCAAATGTCCCTTTTGGTTTCATTTCTCATGAATACACCTACTTTTCCCCATTCCCTGTCTTGTGCTCCTCTCAGGTCTCCCTAATGCATTCTTTTCCACACAGACAGTGAAAAACCACTCTGGCTCCTGAGATCCAGTCCCTGCACCCCAAGGTCCAGATGGCGGCCAATGTGGGTGATCAGCGTAGCACGGATTGGTTAGTAGAGGCTGGAGGGACAGTGGCTGGTGGGTGGGAAAAGAAATGTAAGATCTGGGGACCCAGTGCTATACTTTGGGGTGGGCCTCACACAGCCCAGGGGAAGAGGTACAGTAATCTGCAGTGGCCCAGAGAGGGGAGGGCGTGTTTGTAGTGAGAACAGGGACAAGTTTCATCTCTGAGCTTTCGTGTTTTATAGTGTGGCCTTCACCTAAGGGAAGTATGAGTCTTTCAAGTAGTTATAAGTAGGAAGGATTTTTTTAGCATTCATTACTCAAGTCATTTCTCTTCTGGTAATTCTTTGAATCCATACAGTAGCAGACAATTCACTGATGCTTTTGTTTTGTTTTCCTTTTTAAGACAGGGTATCTGTTATGGTTTGTGTCTAGTTGTCCCCCCAAAGCCTCATACAATCATGAATCATGAGGTAACTTCTAGAGTTTGTGATTAATTTCCGATCCAGTGCTGGGATTGTGGGTGTGAGTGCTACACCCAGCCTGGGGCAGAGAGCCTGAATGCAACATAAAGGAGAGCGACTTGCTCCCTGTAGCCAGTGTTGCTGCTGCTCTTCCCTTTTGCCCTTGCTGTTTTGCCGTTTTCTGCCAACATGAATGAACTGATGCCCACTGCCTTGTGTCAAACTGCCTTGGAGCCAGCCGAGTATGGACTAAAACCTCCACAAACTGTGAACTAAATAAACCTTTCTGTCCTTAATTCTGACTGTTGGGTATTTGTCCCAGCAATGGGAGAAAAACAGCTAAAACATAGTTTTGTACCAGAGAAGTGGAGTTGTTGGTGTAATTAAGCCTGACCATGTGAATTGCAAGCTTTTGGGAATGGCTTATGAAAAGAGATAGGAAGGGTTCAGAGATGTCGCCTACAAAAGAAGTGCTGGAACAGCTTTAGCTGTTCTGTATGCGAGACTCTGGTTTAGAGTTCAGAAGACCAGAAAGCTGATAGAAATCCTACCTGTAAAGACCAGGCTGGGGAAGTTTTTGCTGGGAAGAAGGATTGCATTGATTGTTGGACTCCAGACAGTTTGTGTTATGGCTTGGCAGAAAAGTTTGTCTGCAATTTATGCATGTTCAGAGGCTTTGCCTGAGATAGATGCATGGTGGACTGGTTAATACGACAGGAGATTTCAAGGCCGTCGAATGTTGAAGCAGTGGCATGGCTATTATTGGGGGCTTTTAGTCAGATTTATATTGAGACTCAAGAGCAAGGAGTCCAGCAGGATGATTTAAAATGTTGTGAGTTTAGCCAGAAAGGAAGCGCCAACAAAGCTATGGATTGCAAAGATAGAGCTGAGAGAATCTCCATTTCTGGGAAGAAATTAGAGAACGGAAATTTCCATAAGTTATCTCCCTGGCCTGTGGCCTGAGGGCGTCATAGGAAGCAGCAGGTCTGCCTTTTGCAGCCTCAGAATTGCAAGGGTGAGGGCCTTTGCCTAGAGGAAAAAGCCGCAAGAGTGCTGTGTTTCAGAATGGCAGCGGCAGCCACACCAGGTTCCAGAATGGTGCTGGCATAGAGAATTTGTTACTCGGAATCAGGTTCAGTGTGATCAGAGATCCAGGCACTCAACCCCTATAGACAAGAGAGAAGAAAACCTGGCTGCTACTCCAGCTGGCAGCAGACCTTGGCATCATTGATGTGGCACTGGTTTCAGGTGCTTGCAGAATGCAAGAGATCTGAGGTTAAGAAGGCTTCCACCTAGATTTCAGAAGGCCTGGGAGGCCAGGCAGTGTGCCCAAGAGGGCAGTGTGTGAAGCAGAGAGTGAGAAGCTTAATGTGTGGTGGAAACCCCAGAAGTTTAGAAAAGCTAGGAACATGGATTATCTAAAGGAACTGCAAGGAGGGAGCAAAGTTGATCTAAGAGAGAAGCCATGGGAGCTATCACCAAGAGTGCTGTGGGGGTACAGAAGGAGCTCACAATTTGCCACAGATTGCTTCCGATGGTCCACATGGAACAACAGGACTTAATGTTCACCCTTCTGGATGTTGGTCCCAGTGCTTGGTGTCCTGCTATGTGTACCTTTTTTTTTTTTTTTTTTAATTTTATTTATGTGTGTGTGTGTGTGTGTGGCCGGCTCAGCCCACCAGGGGGCGGGGCTGGCTGGCATGTGGTGCTGGGGATCGAACCGTGGTCCTTGTGCTTTGCTGAGCTTGTTCTAAGTAGGTGCTTTAGACCACTGAGCCATCTCACCAGCCTCCTGTGTGTACCTTTTGGAATGGTAATGTTTATCTTGTGCCACTGAATATTGGAAGTGTTTAACCTTTTATTTGTATGAGGCTCACAGCTAAGAGTTTGCCTGAGGTCTTGGAGGGACTTGGACTTTTCAGCAGTGCTGAAACTGTTAGGACTTTTGCAACTCTTAGAGATACCTTAAACTGCTTTTCGCACAAAAGGATGTGCATGAGGCTTTGGGGGGACAAGTAGCCAAACCGTAACAGTTTTAGTATGTAATTTATGCTGGCCTTGAACTCACTGTGTAGCCCAGCCTGGCCTGATTACAGGCATGTGCCACCCCACTCAACCAGGCTGCAGTGTTTTTGTTTCCCCAGTGCCGGGGATTGAACTCAGGACCCCGCGCTTGCCAGGCAGGCACTTATTCTACTGAGCTATCTCCCTAGCCCAGGCTGCAATGTTTTAAGAATCAATTTTGCCTGGCATGATGGTGCACACCTCTGTAACCCAGCACTCTGGAGGCTGAGACAGGAGGAAGACACCAGCCTGGGCTACAAAGTAAGCTCCAGGCCAGCCTGAATTGCGTAGTGAGACCCTGTCTCAAAAGGACCAAAAACAGCAACAACGAAAACCCCTGTGGGATCCAGTAGATGCTAGACCCTATGTTAAGTTCTGGAGACATTGGCCTCCTTTGCTTTATTAACACCTGTGGTGTGTCAGGCCCCAGGATCGGTTCTGTAAACAGGCACCCTCGAGCTTTTCTAAGCATAGTGTAACTAGAAGTCTTAGATTCATGGAAGTGGGGAGCTCAAATCTGAGGTTTGAAGTCTGGTGTCTTGTCTCTTGCCGTGTTTCCACAGACTGACTTGCTGTCATCTCCGCAGGTCCTCTCAGTACAGCATGGTGGCCGGGACTGGCAGAGAAAATGGCATGGAGACCCCCATGCATGAGAACCCCGAGTGGGAGAAGGCCCGCCAGGCCCTGGCCAGCATCAGCAAAGCAGGAGCTGCTGGCAGCTCGAAGGCCAGCAGCAGTGGGCCTGTGGCCAGTGCACAAGTGAGGAGACCACAAGAGCCGGGAGGGCCTGGGCGGAGTTGCTTGGTTCTTCCCACTGGGCTAGGGTGCTCTGAGGAGTACAGTTAAAAAGAGTCTCTTTGATGCGTAAGTCTGCTTGCGGGTGGTGTTCTCTTCTTTGAGACTGCCAGCACATGAGTTGGTCCTGAAGCAGGAGGCTGTGTCCCTTGTCCCTTAGGTGCCTGAGTCTGGTGGTCAGGTCAGTCCCTCCCTCAGCACTTAGCCCAGTGGAGCTGCCTTTCTTCTGGGCCCTGATGCTGACAGCCAGCACCTCTGTTTCTGCAGTATGTGTCTCAGGCTGAAGCTCTGCAGCAACAGCAGTACTACCAGTGGTACCAGCAGTACAACTACGCCTACCCCTATAGCTACTACTACCCCATGGTGAGTGCCAGTGGGAGGGCCTGGGAGCCCCACGGTCAGGGTGTGCCGAGGAGGCTGGAATGGAGATGGCAGCCACGCTGCTGAGAAGCCTTCAGCTAGTGCACAGCCCCTGAGAACAGTCCCCATGCCCACCCTCCCTGGGTCTGGCTCATGGCTTCCCCGAGAGCGTGACACCGGCGCATGCATGACCACTTTTGCTTTCCTTTGCTGCCTCTGTCCCCTCCCCGTGTGCCCACCGTGGGTTCTCCGCTTAGATAGTACTTTCAAGGCCTCGCGGCTGTGACCTTCCAGGAGGCAATGCCCGTTCTGCTCCTTTTTTTGCCATGCTTTCTCTCATGGTACTTTCCCAGGATATGTGTGTGCAAGTATGTGTGCACGTGTGCATGTGTGTGCCTGCTGCTGTGCATTTATCTTCAGCATGAGTTCTGCTACAATCCAGTTTTCATTTTACTTTATTTCTGTGGGCCTTGTAATTAGCACACGCTGAGTGTTGAATGTTGACTAGAGCTTTCCAAGAGCTAGTGTAGTGGGGTAGTGGTTGGCAGAGGTGTTTGAGGACTTGGTATCCTTGGACAGTGGAAAGCAAAGGAGCAGGCATCTGTAGTCAGGTTGTGCACGGTTCTGAGCAGGCAGAACAGGACAAACCTGGCCTGCTACTAACCCACGCCCTGTGACTTTGGCAGAGTATGTACCAGAGCTATGGCTCCCCCTCCCAGTATGGGGTGGCTGGCTCCTATGGGTCAGCCGCCCCCCAGCAGCCCTCAGCACCCCAGCACCAAGGGACTCTGAACCAGGTAATGCTGTGCCCGGCCTGCTCCTGCTCAGGCTCGAGCAAGGGACTTCGGTTTGGGGAGCAGTAGGGGGGAGTTGCCCACATTATTAGCTGCTGTTGTACCCCTTTTTTTTCTTCGTTCGAAGCAGCTTTTGGCCTCAAAATCAGGAGGGCAAAGCATATTTTTTGGAAGTAGGGTGGGCCTATGCTTTGGGCACTTTGCAGTGTGGCAGTCTGTCTTCTGTTTCCCTCCAGTATGTGCACACTCCCTTGCGCGCACACACGTGCAGTCCACTTTGCATTTGAGGCAGCCTGGGATGGCAGAGCCCAGAGCTTGGGAGGCAGATAGACTTAAGTCTCAATTTGAGCTCCACCGCTCTCATGTGATGTCTCATGAGCCGGGTGACCTCTGCTCAGTCCGCTCTTAAGGTGGTGCCCCAAGTAGGATTTCTGGGGTACTTCTCGGGTTGTCTGCTCAGAGAGCACCTCTGGACGGGGTGTGCTGTCACACTGTGGCAGTCAGGTTGTAGGGTCACACGGTGTGTGGAACTGCCTCCTCACTAAGACCTGCTGTTCATGCAGCCCCCAGTCCCTGGCATGGACGAGAGCATGGCTTACCAGGCCTCCCCGCAGCAGCTGCCTACAGCCCAACCCCCCCAGCCCTCGAACCCCCCGCACGGGGCCCACGCTCTGAGCAGTGGCCCCCAGCCTGGAACAGCCCCTGCCACACAGCACAGCCAAGCAGGGCCCCCAGCAGGCCAGGCCTATGGGCCACACACCTATCCAGAGCCAGCAAAGCCCAAGAAGGGTCAGCAGTTGTGGAATCGCATGAAACGTAAGTTGGCAAAGCCCCAGGAGGGGAGAAGTGGTGCGGGGCCCTCAGAGCTCCTGGGTGCAAGAAGGCACGTTGTGTGGGGCCTGCCTATTAAGGGCTTGACACTTGGGGTGGCTGTTGTGGGCTCCCTTGCTCGCACCTGAGTCCCTGGCTCCTCAGGCCTGGGTCCTGGCCTCCTGCGTGCTGGGTCTCCTGAGGTGTGTGCAAGGGCCTAACCCCAGTCTTGGTTGCTCTGCAGCGGCCCCTGGGACAGGGGGCCTCAAGTTCAACATTCAGAAGCGGCCATTTGCTGTCACTAACCAGAGCTTTGGCTCCACTGCTGAGGGGCAGCATAGCGGCTTTGGCCCCCAGCCCAGCCCAGAAAAGGCCCAGAGCCACAGGTGAGGTGCCTGCCAGCCTCCCTATGTCCTGGACAGCAGCCCTGCTAGGCCTCCCTCTGCTTGGGCTGGTGTCCTGGCTCAGCCGCGACCTGCCTCTGCAGTGGCCCGTCCCCTCGGGGGAACCTGTCTGGGAAGCCTGACGATTGGCCGCAGGACATGAAGGAGTACGTGGAGCGCTGCTTCACTGCCTGCGAGTCAGAGGAGGACAAAGACCGGACGGAGAAGCTGCTCAAGGAAGTGCTGCAGGCTCGGCTGCAGGACGGCTCGGCCTACACCATTGACTGGAGCCGCGAGCCCCTGCCGGGGTCAGTATGAGTGCCGTGTAGGCCGCACTGCTGGGTACCCGGAGCGTCAGGTCCTGGGCTGAGGAGTCCTGGCTGGGAGGCTTGTGGGCTGAGGAGGGCCTAGGTGCCCTCTCGGGTGAGCACAGGCTGCCAGGGGTCAAAGGTGTCCCTCGTTACCAAGAACCTTGGGGTTGCCCCCTTTCCTGCACTGCAGCAGCTGAGTAGCGGGGTGAGCACGCTCCCCTGGTGGGGTGGCAGGGCCTGCACTCTGATGTGCTGGCAGGACTGGTGACGCCCCGCCCTCCTGTGTCCTCAGGCTGACCCGGGAGCCTGTGGCCGAGAGCCCCAAGAAGAAGCGGTGGGAGGCCCCTAGCAGCCTTCACCCGCCCAGGGGGGCAGGTGCGGTGACCAGGGGCGGGGGTGCCCAGTCCCAGCGAGGGACGCCGGGGGCTGGGGGTGCTGGCCGAGCCCGGGGCAGCAGCTTCGCCAAGTTCGGCAACCGCAATGTCTTCATGAAGGACAACAGCTCTTCCTCCAGCACAGACTCCCGGTCCCGCTCCTCCTCCAGATCCCCCACGCGTCACTTCCGGAGAAGGTATGCAGCTCAGAGGGGCGGGAGCGAGGGGTGGTCGCCGAGACCTGACCCTTGCGCTTCCTTGTGCAGTGACTCCCACTCGGACTCCGACAGCTCCTACTCAGGAAATGAGTGTCACCCTGTGCCCCGCAGGAACCCGCCCCCCAAGGGCCGGGGTGGTCGGGGGGCCCACATGGACCGGGGCCGAGGCCGGGCACAGCGAGGGAAGAGGTAAAAGTGGGGGCCTGCATCGCAAGCTTGGGTGGCCTGGCAGCGGTGACTGGAGATGACTGCTTCCTTTCGCCGTCGTCCCTCACAGGCATGACCTGGCTCCCACCAAGCGCAGCCGCAAGAAGATGGCGGCGCTGGAGTGCGAGGACCCGGAGCGCGAGCTGAAGAAGCAGAAGCGCGCGGCCCGCTTCCAGCACGGGCACTCCCGCCGCCTGCGCCTGGAGCCCCTGGTGTTGCAGATGAGCAGCTTGGACAGCGGCGGGGCTGACCCCGACTGGCAGGAGCTGCAGATCGTGGGCACATGCCCGGACATCACCAAGCATTACCTGCGCCTCACCTGTGCCCCTGACCCTTCCACTGTGCGCCCCGTGGCAGTAAGTCCCCAGCAGGGCGCTTGTGCACCGTGAAGCGCTGGCCAGAGGCCTGGGGGTGTCTCCCTAGGGGGTGCCCACAGCCTGGCTGGGGTCTAGACAGACCTATTCTTGCGGGACATTCGAGCCTTCTCAGGTGCAGGCTTGCAGGACCAGGGCACAGAGGAGGGGGAGTACTCCAGTCCAGGACAGGTGTGCGCCCTGCGTGTGCCAGGGCCTGGGGTGGGGACCTGTTTGCCCTCTCTGTAGGCAGTGCTGCGTTTTTGTGGCAGCGTTGAGTCATTAACCTGCTGTGTTGGTCACTTGTTGCTGAAACAAAATACCTGATGCCCAAAGTTCAGGCGGGAGCGGTTGGTCTGGGTCAGCTTGTAGAGGTTTCCGGCCGTGGTTGGCTGCCTGGCTCCAAGGCCGGGTTGCACGGCAGAGGGCAACGGTTCATTGCAGACGGTAACAAACCAGTCAGTGGACTGAATTAATACACACCCTTAATCCCAGCGCTAGCTTTGGAAAAGCCCCCTGTGCCTGCCTGAGGCCTTCGAGGACATCCAGACACAGCCCTGATGCCTGCCTTCGTGTTACTGTCATTTCAAGCGGGCTGGGCTGTCTTGCTGTCTGCCCATGAGTCTTGCCCTCTTTCCCACCAGGTTCTGAAGAAGTCCCTGTGCATGGTCAAGTCCCATTGGAAGGAGAAGCAGGACTATGCCTTTGCCTGCGAGCAGATGAAGTCCATCCGGCAGGACCTAACGGTAAGGAGGACCATGGGGTGGCTTTACTGTGGCGGCCTGCTGTGCCCTACTTCTGGTGACCTGTGCCCCTGTCCAGGTGCAAGGTGTCCGCACGGAGTTCACTGTGGAGGTGTATGAGACCCATGCCCGTATTGCCTTGGAGAAGGTGGGTGCCCGTCCCCCGCGCACGCTTCCCCGCGTGCCTCAGTCTCCAAGCCTGCCTGGGTTTCACAGTGCTGCTCCCCACTCCTGCCCTTAGGGCGACCATGAAGAGTTCAACCAGTGCCAGACACAGCTGAAGTCTCTGTACGCGGAGAACTTGGCGGGCAATGTGGGCGAGTTTACCGCCTACCGGATCCTGTACTACATCTTTACCAAGAACTCAGGAGGTGAGACCCCCCCCGCCCCCAGTGTCACCCCACAGTACGCAGGGTGGCACTCTGTAGACCGACTTGTGTTTTGGCGCAGACATTACCACTGAGCTGGCGTACCTCACGCGGGAGCTGAAGGCAGACCCTTGTGTGGCCCATGCATTGGCTCTGCGGGCAGCCTGGGCCCTGGGCAACTACCACCGCTTCTTCCGGCTCTACTGCCATGCACCCTGCATGTCTGGCTACCTCGTGGACAAGTTTGCAGACCGGGAGCGCAAGGCTGCCCTCAAGGCAATGATCAAAACGTATGTGGCACCGTGCTGTGGCCCTGCCACACCTGTCATCCTCCCTGTGCTCCTGGCCATCTTGAGCCTTCTCTCATTCTGGAGTCTCCCTCACCCTCTCTTAACGCTGTCCCTTGCAGTCCTCCTCGGTTCCAGGTCCCTTTCTCTGACTCTTCCATTCTTCTCGCCTGTTCCCGGTCCCTTCCCTTCTTTCCTCCAGCCCCCATCACATGCTCAGGCTCAGGCTTAGGTGGGCTCCTCGCGGCCTGCCTGTGCAACTCCTCCGTGCCCCCATGCTAGAGAAGCTAGGAAGGCTGGGCCCTGCCCTAGCAGTTGCAGTTTTAATTTGTGGTCTCAAGCCAAGGCTGGTTCCTGTTCCATGCCTTAGAAGGTGGCAGAAGTGCTGAGGGACGATGTGGCGGAGACCAGGCCCTTGCTGCCTGAGCATGCCCTTCACCCTCGCTCTGCTGTGCTGGGTGCTGGGAGTACACACTCAGTATGGCTTATTGCCTAGCTTGTAGGGGTGGCCCTGCCTCCAGGGGTGAGGCGCAGTGTATGCTGAGGAGGTGCTGCTGGCTTCTAGCACCCAGGGACCCGGTGTTAGTGCTGCGCAGATGGAGAGGCCCTGCTCAGGGGCTCTGGGCCTGGGGAGCCGCTTGGAAAGGTGGCCGGGAGCCGAGGGTGGTCTGGCTGAGGAGTGCTGTCGGCTGAAAGATGAGAAGCTAGGTACCAGACAGGGATAGGCCGCGCCAGTTCAGTGGCAGACGAGCGCGTGGCACAGGGATCCCTAGCCGGGAAGGCAGGGCAGGGCAGGGGCCAATCAGCCCTCGGTGTCAGGGCTGTCCCGGGCACGTGCTTGGGCAGTGGTTGTCCCTTTCCTGTGATTGGCCTTGGGTGGTGGCACAGCAGTGAGTGGCCATCACTGACCTCGCTTCATCTCGGGCCTCTCCGTGAGATTTCCACGGCCCTTGGCAGAGGAGAGCCTCTTAGATCTCAGAGCAGTGTTCACAGTGAGGTGGGAGGCAGTCTCAGTGGCCGAAAAGTGGCACCAGGTACTCAGTGCCACTGCTTGAGTAAAGGTGCTCCATCACAGCCTGTAGGGAGGTCCCCCCAAGTTGACGGGTGCTGCGCTTTCTGCGCAGTTCCTAACCATGCAGCTGGCACACCTGTGCCCTGGGGGCACTGTGACCCTGGGCAGGCTGTTGGCCTTCCCTCCTCTGCCCACGCCGCTCCCTCCTTGGGGTGGTCTGGCTCCAGCCCCTCCACTCCTGTTCCCTCTCCTTCCTGGACAGGTAAGTGTGGGTGAGGGGGGTACAGCTGGGGACTGGGGCTACTGCCCTACCCCGGGCCCCCCAAGCCTCAGAGGGGGGAGGTCGGGAGGCACTGGGGGCCAACAGGGCCAGGAAAGCCTGTGGGTGCCTGAGGGGGGCACCTGCTCCCCACTTGGGGCCCTTGCCCACCCGCCCGCCTCATCCCTCTCTCCTCTTGTCTCCGTAGCTTCCGCCCTGCGCTGCCTGTCTCCTACCTGCAGGCCGAGCTGGCCTTCGAGGGCGAGGCCGCCTGCCGGGCCTTCCTAGAGCCCCTGGGCCTGGCCTACATAGGCCCCGACAACTCCAGCATCGACTGTCGCCTCAGCCTGGCGCAGCTGCCAGCCTTCTGAGCACCCAGCAAGCCCGGGTGGCCGGGGCCCTGACCCCAGCGCCGCTTTGCGGATTTTGTTTTTGAGCCATGGACTTGGGTTGTAAATGAATTTATGGGAAGTGGGCTCCAGGAAGAGCCACCGTCCCTGTCCCGTCTCCCACCGGGACGTTTGTACAGAGATTTTTGTACATTTTTATTTTTGCCTCGGAGGGGTGGGTGGGTAAAGGAGGGTGGCAGGGGGTGGGGTCTGCAGGCCTTGTCCATCTTCACCTCCACTAATGCTGCCTCAGTGTTTTCTCTCTCTCTCTCTCGAGCTCCTACTGCGGTTCCGACCCGGCGTGCTGGCCCATCCTGTGCCCAGGCCCTGCTGCGGGAAGAAGACGGGCCGTCCGCCCTGCGCCCACCCGCCTGGGGTGCCAGCCAGCCAGCCAGCCCACGCCCGCCGCCTCTTCGGCCTCTTCACAGACTCTTGTTGCCGAGCCCTCCAGGGCCTCAGTGTTTGGGGTGAGGGGAGCTGCTGAGAGACTGTGCCCCACCCTGTGCCCCCACCCCGGAACGCCAATGCCGCCGCCGCCGCCACCACCGTCATCAGACCAGCGCCGCTGCACCGCACTGAGGACCCGGAGGCCAGCGTGGGACCTCGCCGGCCGGGCCGCCCGCTCTCAAGTTGTATTAAGTTGTCCCCGTGTCCCTCCTCCCCCGCCCGCCCGCCCACCCCCAGTGTTTCTTCTGGTTTTTCCCCCCTTTCCTCCCTCCCTCCTGATCCCAGCCCTTCCTGGTTCCGCACAGGTAAAACGGTTGCCCCTCCTCCCTCCCCGCCTCATGGATCACCAGCTCACGTCATGTTTCCTTCTCTTTTCTTTGTGTGTGTGTTTATTTCAGTTATTTTCCTTCCTCCCCTTTCTTTTTGGCCCTCCCGCCTCCCTCCCTCCTTCCCTCCCTCCCTCTTCTGCCATGTAACTGGAGGATGTGCTGTGAGCTCGCAAACGCTGGACTGTCAGGCTGCTTTTCTCCAGACGCCCCTCCTCTGCCCTCCCCTCCCCTTCCTCCTTCCTTCTTTCCTTGGAGTGCTGACACGGTTGGGAAGCTTTAGAGAAGCCAAAATTAAAGAGAGAGAGAGAGCTGGCTCTGTCCTTTTTGCTTGTCACTGGGCACCTCGCTTGTCACCCCAGGGAATGTCGGCCAGGGACTGGTAGGTGTCCCCTACCCTCCCCATGCGGCACAGCCGCAGGCCTTCCAGGGGCTGGGTCCCCTGCGCCTCATTCAGGCAGAAGGTGGGTGTCGGCAGGCATGCCCGGGAGCCGCGGGGCACCTTGGCCAAAGTGAGGTGGGGGTGCAGCCCACCAGGGGGCGGCAGCACCTCCAGCCCCTGGGCCTCCAGCCTTCGGCTCAGCTCCCGCGCCACGCCCGCCAGGGTGGGAGTTGGGGGGGCACAGAGCACATGGGGGCCCAGGAGCATGAGGTCCCGGAAGCGCAGCTGTTGGGGTGCCTGGAGCCCCGGGTCCCCGAGGGCATGCCTCAGCGCTGCGGAGGCGGCAGCCTCCTCCCCAGGGCCCGCCAGCCGCAGCAGGGCCAGTGTGAGGTGCAGTGCTGCCGCGGGCACCAGGAACGCAGTGCAGGCCGGGGCCTCTCGCGCCAGGTGAGCCTGGGCCTTGGCCACCTCTGCCTGAAGGCTGGGCTCCGTCACTGGGACTGCCACGAAGTGGGTGGGGCGCCGGGCCCTTCTGTCCTGGGCCCAGGCCCCGGGCCCCCACTCGGCTTCTACCTCTCCAAAGGGCAACGGCCCCTGGATGGTCCCACGGGCCTCTATCAGCTCTGCCGTCCTCACAGCTCGGGCTCTTGGGGCGGGTTGCCCCCTGGCGCAGGAGTCCATGGGGTCAGCATCCTCCCGCAGCTGTGTTCGGGGGTCGGGGTCTTCTGGCTCGTCCTCCCGCAGCTGTGCTCCGGGATCGGAGTCCTGAGGCTCGTCCTCCCGCACCTGTCCTGCGGGATCGGAGTCCAGAGGCTCGTCCTCC